AGAGGCCTGAGATTGCACAGTGAACATGAATCCTCGTCAAAGATAGAACTGCTTAACAGTCGCCCTGGCAAAGGTCAGGTGTCACATTTCTTCATGCTGACTTTGATGACAAACTGAGTCACATGGCAAGCCTGAAGACTGCATGACTTATGCTTTTTCTGAGCACTGTGTCGTCAGTGTGCAATGTTCCTCTGCTTCTACGTGTCTATGTGTTGCTACTGGAAAGCCGCCAGAAATCACTTGATGTTTTAGAGTTTTTTTATTTAAAATAAAACTAGAATTATAGGCAATGCATGAAGCTATAGAGGCAACCTACTTCTCCGTGCATCTCTGGTGAGGCTTCTTCACTTTTCCACAGCCTTCAGATCTGCTCCCAGTGTATGAAGAGCTGACAGGATGGAGGCTCACCGCACATTTTAGTGGTATCATCAATATTTTAGAGTTCTGAAGTTCTCTGTAGAAATATTTTCACACTTAGGGACATATGGAGAATTATGAAGTGTAATAGGTGTCAGAAAATTTACAAATATTTAAAATACAGCAAGGGGTTAAAATACATCGTTTATCATAATGGTGTTTTATTTTGTTTTATTATTAAATGTTACCTTAAGGAATCCCTGCTCTACATATTCCATTTCACTTGTATTAATATTGTTCATATTCAGTGGCAGTATTTTAACTCCATAAAATGACCTTTAAAATAATGAAAAAGATTATTGTTAGTACTGACACCAAAAGATGTGGCAATGTCACTGCGACTCAGCAGACCATGATTTTATTAAATAATCTAACTTTAGTGATCTCAGGGTCATTTGAGGAAGAGATGTCTGATGGAGGCATTAATATTTACTCCTACCCATCTTCCAGCTGGGATCCCAGGATGTGAGAGCACCAGGTTAATTGAGTTTTATCACAAAATCTCTAGGCCACTTTAGAAATTACTGTAAGGCACATTCCCTGAGGTCTGATCTATATAAGTGAGAAAATAGAAGGAGAAATGAGGAATACCTAACCAGGTTCCACTGATATTGCCAACATTGGTACTTATTAAAAGATTGACCAACTGAGAAGTGATTTTCTCAGAAAAAATTAGCAGTCACTTTTTTTCCTAATCCGTTCTCAGAAAAATGGGGAGAAGAGCAGTCCTGCTGTTACAGAGAAAAATCACAAGAATATGCAAATGCTAATTTTTCTTTAATCCACAATTTCTGCATTTACCCTCACTTCCCCCCTAATTTGCTTATATAGAAATAGAAGTATAAGGTGAGAAAGTGTAAGGGTTATTCTTTCACTATCTGAATTCTTCAGGGTAAAATCTAAATTAAAAGACAGTATTTATGCTCTTACCTTGTAAATTAATCTCAGTTGAAAGAGATAAATTGCGGACAGGCTTTTCCTACCAGATTGTGGCACAGGCTAAGCACAAACTACAGATAATAAATACAATAAAACTAACATTAATTTGTTTCTCTAGAAATCATTCCAATTCCACATATGACTTTGTGGCTAAGCACAAACTACAGATAATAAATACAATAAAACTAACATTAATCTATTTCCCTAGAAATTATTCCAATTCCACATATGACTTTGCTCTATTCCATGATGCTATAAAATGAACTTGGGTATTCCCATTCTACAAATACAGAAGTTGAGGAGTAGAGCTACTGAGACATGATCAGGCACACGGCAACTGTGGTGCAGAGTCCAGATTTAAACTCTGTCCTCCATCTTTGAAGGCTGTGTTGAAAACAGACTTAGAGATAGAGATCTCTCTTACCCAAAAGTTTCCATAAGTGAAATGAGCATTTGGGGGTAGGAGGAAGCCTTGTGTTCCCAGAGCCAAGGTGAGTTTTCATTCAAGGAGGAAAGATGTGCTCCGAATATTTAGACACTAGTAAAGCCCTCTCACCTCTTTCCTTCAGGGTACGCAGTTTAGCTTTTATGAATGTACAGAATGATATTGTTTGAGGCACTTAGGAATACTTTACCAATGCTACTAGACTGAAATCACTTGAAGACAAGGAACATTTGTGGCTCGGGAATATATATATATATATATATATATATATATATATATATATATATATATCTCCATAGTTAGTTTTAACAAATTTTAGAAGTTCAATAAAGACCATTTGAAAATTGTCAGTACTTGATAATGAGGAAGGGAATGACTTTAGGTCAGAAAATGTGTTTATTACTGTTAAAAAGAACTAAACAATATGATTTGAAAATATGATTTCAAAGTTTGAATTTTTTTTTAGAGCTCTGATATCTTGCAGTCAGAATTCAAGTCCAATTGAGTCCTGCATTCCCTAAAATGACAGCTCAGGTCTTTCCTCTGAGCAACATTTTCTATGGCTGCTGGCTGAATGAGAGGATTCTGCAACTGTGACAGGAGCCTGTAGCTCTCTAAATCTACTTTTCTTCCACTCTGCATTAAAAGCAGATGCATGCTGGCCTTCATTTCCGCTAGATTAGAGCTTCATGAAGGTCAGGAAGATAATTTATTCACTTTTGGACTTCCAGCTTTGGCATCTTTACATGAATTTCCTGAGAGCTGTATGTGTGAATTCATGGCCAGGTTACAGAGAGGGTTTGAGTTCACATTCATGAACAAAAAGGGAATCACAACGAGAACAGATGCAAGAGGGTGCACAGAGAGGGCAGTGCTCTGATGAGGAATACACAGCCCAGTCAGAGGCCAGCTCATCTATCTGTTAATGGCACAAACCAATTGCTGACCTTCATGGCAGTATTGTGTGCGTGTGTGTGTGTGTGTGTGTGTGTGTGTGTGTGTGTGTATGTACATAAGATTTACTACCACAATGATCAACAGTAGAATATGGAGGGAAGTGGGGACAAATTGTAACAAAACAAAATGATATATGGGTCTGAAATTAGCACAATAAAGACTAGTTCTTTGCATAATTAACCAAAAGTGAATAAATGTTACATAAAGTTTCTTTAAGTTTTCTACTTACCTTGATTAAAATCTCAGGCTCACATTTTTATAATTATTTCATATTTCGGAGGAGCTGGGATGTTTCTCTCTGTTATTTGTGAACTGGCAAGGCAGGATACGCAGACCTAGTGCAGATAATCACTCTGAAAATGAAGACACTTGTAAGTTAGGCCAGAAAGGGAAATCCTCATTCTCTTTCATTTTCCTGGCACATCTACATGCTGCCTACAACTTACGCTTGCTTTCTGGTTCTAAAACAGATGTTATATGGTGTCTCTACAATCTATTCTTCAGTAAACTTTGCTCAAAGGTGTTAACTCTTTTCAGGTAAACTTGATATGCCTTCTCCAGGCTGTGGAAGGCTTCAGCCTTCTCCAGGCTAAAGGAAACAGATCTCTTCTAAGTGATGATACAGAGCATGCTCATTTTAAGTGTGGAAAACATCCAAAAATGTATTTTTCTTGGCTTTCAGAAAAATTATATTTGTGATTTTACAGTAGAGAAATGTTAAATTTAATTTGATACTTTAGCACCTAACGTGTTATTTCTAAATCACGGAAATGTTTCTATATCTCAAAATATCTGTCTGAGGCCCTGAAGTGATTTTGGATAATTTTAATTATGAGAAAGCTCACTGGTAAAACCTGACTTTCATCTTACATTTAATTAGCAGGCATTAACATAAAATATATTCTCTGAGAAATCTTCTGATTCTTAAATGTATCCCACGATTGGTGCTGGAGATAAGGTTCAACAGTGAAGAGCAATGGCTACTGTTTCAGAAGACCTGTGTTTGATTTTCAGCACCCATCTGGCAGCTTGCTGCCATGTGTAACCCTGGTTCTAGGAGATTTGGTATCCTGTTTTGGTCTATATGAACCCAAGGTGTGAATGTGATGCACACACTGACATGCAGGCCAAACACTCATATACATCAAATAAATGTCTTAAAAGTCTCCCATTCTTAGCAAATTGTTCAGTTCAGGTTATATTAGAAATGCAAAAATCCAATGTGTGAGTTAATCTCATTCTATTCAGATTGTTTTCCAAAACTATGCACTAAAATTATTACTGTATTAGTCAAGGTTCTCTAGAGGAACATAACTTATAGAATGAGTATATGCGTGTGTGTGTGTGTGTGTGTGTGTGTGTGTGTCTGTGTGTGTGTGTGTGATTTATTAGAATGAGGTTTTGTGGTCCAGCTATTTCAACCATGGCTGTCTAACAATAAAAGGTCCAAAATTATACTAGTTGTTCAGTTCATGAGACTGGTTACCTCAGCTGGTGTTTTTACACACCAGAACACCAAAGAAGTAGACTCTAGTGCCAATGAAGAACGGACTTGTCAGTGGAAGCAAGCAAGCAAAGAGAGTAAGCTTTCTTCTTCTATATAAGCTGCCACCAGAAGGTGTGGGCCAAATTAAAGGTGAATTTTCCCACCTCAAATATAAATCCATTATTATTATGGTCATGAGTGTGTTGGCAGGCAAGGAGGAGGCATGGTACTGTAGAAATAGCTGAGAGCTACATCCTGATCCAGAGTCAGGAGAGGAAGTGAGAGAGAGGTGGGGGGGGGGAGACTGGGCCTATTATAGCCCTTTGAAATGTCAAAGCTCACCCCTAGAGAATCCTTTCCTCCAACAAGGCCATACCTACTAATCCTTATAACCCTTTCAAACAGTTCTACTTCCTTGTGGCCAAGTGTTCAAACATGACACTATGGGGACCACTTTCATTCAAACTACCACATTATTTTCCAAGCACATAATAGTTCAATATATTTCAGATGTTATGCACACGTTTTTCTTTTCTTAGTGTAGCACAATTTAGGAATTTAAATAGAATGCAAATAAAATGTTTCTTAATAATGAACAAAAATGGAAGTTTCATAATATCATTTCTATTTGATATTAACTTATAGAAATTATAAAACATGACATAAAATAAATTCCATAGAGATTCTTTCACGTTTAGTAGTAGTTAATTGAGGACTTCTGGGGGAATCTAAGGCATAACTTTTAGTGTAAATACAATGAATACCCCAGTACAAACTCCTGATATGGTGTGGTGTTTTCCAGCCAGTGACGTTCCCATCTCTGTGTATTTCTCTTTGTAGCTATAAAACACAAGAAGGAATATTTTTCCCAATTTCAGTAATAAAGAAGGCACTAAATTACCCTACATGGAATGGGTTAAAACAAGCTCTAAGTATATTCAAATACTTGTGCAAAGAAGCTGCATCTTTAAACATTTTTTTTACCCTTTCTCTTTCTCTCTCGTTCCCTCCCTCCCTTATTCCCACCATCGTTTCTTCCTACTCCCCCCATTTTCTATCTCCCTTTGCTTTACTTGCTGTGCTTCTTCTTCATTTACATTTTCATTCTTAATCAAGGAACATATTACAGCAATTAAGGGTTCACAAAATATCCCCAAGCCTAGCTGTTAGCCTCTAATTCTGTTTTTTTTTTCCACTTTTAATGCTAGTTTGAATTAAGTTGTAGCAGATTTCCAACAATTTATCTACATACACACAAAGGTCAATCGCGGGTCTTGGGTTTGATTTTGTGTTGCTGTTTCCTTTTTGCAGAGAACTCTGAAGCTCTCTCCAGTGTTCCCACTTCCTATGCTGCATTGCCGAGAATTAAGAAGAGTGCAACCTCATCTGCCTTTGGTTCCAAGGTCAGGCCGCGGTACAGCAGCCCTTCATTAGGTACCCTGAGTGTTTCTTCCCCGAGCTGGCGAGGGGCAGCTCAGCAGTACCACCCTCCAGTCAACCTTTATCACTCATCAGATGCCTTCAGACAAGATGGTAAGTGCAGAAAAAGTTTAAAATAGCATTAGTTAGGCACACATCATACAGTGCTAGGCTTCTTGAGCCTCCATATTCCCCAGGGAAAGGTAAGTACACTATCCGCCCATTCCTGTAGCCCCACCATGCAGGACAATCAGATGCAATTGGGAGTCGACTCAAAGCAGGAACTCGTTTAATGGTATCAGGCAGGAGCTTATGTAGGGTTGTGATGGGGGTAGAGAAGACTGGGGTGAATTGAGACGGAGTAAGAAACAAGGGTCAATAATATTCTGTCGCTCTAGCAGTGGCTGGGCAGAGGTGGGTCTTCGTTGGGATGTGCTAAGTCACTCACATGCAGAAGTCCTGACCAAAGATAGGTCTCCAAACTCGAGCTAGGCTCAGGAAGTTACAATAGGCCTCATGCCAGGGCCTCACGAGGCCCAACAGTACAAGACTGCTATGACAGGTCTTAAGGCTGCTGCAGTGAGCACAGAGTTGGGCTTCACTGTGTTGTAGGGAGAGAATCAGCTCCATTGTGAAACATAGTCTAAAAAAACAAAACAAGAAAGAATGAAGAGAGAGAGAGAGAGAGAGAGAGAGAGAGAGAGAGAGAGAGAGAGAGAATTAAATTTCAGAATTAATGGTCTGAAAGTAAAAGCAAAAAGCATTTTTTTGAATGGTAGTTTGATAATGAGTATCAATAGCCTTAAAACAGACACACTGGGAATTGGAGAGGTGACTCAGTGATTAAAAATGTATACTGCTCTTACAGAGGATCTGAGTTCTGTTCCCAGAACCCACACCAAGCTGCTCACAATTGTTTATAACTCCAGTTCCATGGGGAATGCAATTCAGGGAGTGCCTCTGGGCATTCACATTCATGTGCACAGACCCCCACACAGACATATACACATATCCATAATTTAAAATAATGCAAATCTTTAAATAAATGAAATAAACATGTTAGGTGTGTTTTATTTCTAGATTTTTCTTTAATGAAACAGTGTTAGGTATAATATATCACATATCCTAAGATTGTATGATTAAATTTAAACTTTATTTTTGAGTGATGAATAAATAACCCAAATGTCACGCTTAGATACCAGTTAAATTAAGAACCACTCTATAGTTATTAACATTATGGGCTGAAAAACATTTTCTCGTTGTTCCTAAGTCTGTCATTGTTAGACATATTACAACATTAGGTTAGTTAGCAAGGCTGGAATGGCTCCTGCTTGTGATTATTAGCAGACACAGTGACATGAATTAAAACTAGCTTAACTCACTCCATTTCTCCAAGAACTGTGTGGTATAGATACTGTTGTTGCCTCCTGGAGGAATGAAAACCAGGGGTGATAGGTACCTCTCCCAGAATCCCCTTACTAATAGGCTCCGTACCCAGCTCTCCTTAATACTTTTACTGATTTTAAGAATGATACTGAATATCATGATTGACAGAGGACAGATAAGGTATTTGAAGAAACATTTTCTAGAACTTTATGTCAAAGATTAAAGTATCAATTTAGGCTGTATTACCATATATAAGCAAGCTAATTATTCATGATTATAAAAATCATTCCCTTACAAGGCATTCATCCCCTGATGCAGGCCTTTACAGTTTATTCACATAGGATGATTTGACCATAAATATATGTCTAATGTTAAAATACTTAACAGGGGTTTTAAAAGTTCCATTGCATTATGTTTAATTTCCTTTGTAACTGTTATGAATTTTGTGCTTTGGAAATGTATATAGTACATTGTGAGTTCTCTCTACCCCAGCACCAAACCACTCCCAGCACCTCAGCCCTTTTACTTTATCACATTCATGAAGATTTGTTTTGTAATTGCTGAGTTTAGCCAGTCACTTGTGTGACTGTGGATTTGGAGATCACCATTAAAGCCTGATAGGTATGTCAGAATCAGACAGATATACAATCAGGATTAATCATTTTAAGGGCAGTGTGATCTTGTTTTATTAGTTAGAAAGTATTGAGTATTCAGAAATACAAGCTTTGCATATTTGTCTTAATTTCTTACAAGCTGCTAGACTGGTGTTATGTTCTCCTACAGCTAATAGAAATCAAGGTAACAAATATGACTAAAATATAGACAGAAAATCCGAAATAAAATAAATGCAAATTATAAAATCAGTATGCAAAAGGGCATAAGCTAGAGTCAGGCACCGTCAAAGAGTCTGTTACAACCTGCTCTCTTCACAGTATGACACCTTTATACCTGCTGTGGGCCTGTCCTACTTTGGACTAAGTCGTGGCCAAATATATTTATCAGGGCTCTCAAGAAAAACAGAAGTGACAGAATGAGTGTCTGTCTGAGGAAGTAAGCTCGAAGGCCAGTGAAGGAACAGACTTGCCATTGAGCGTGGAGACTAACCAGTGAAGAGCAAGCGTTTCCTCCCTCTGTGTCCTTTTTATAGGCTGCCACCTGCAGGGATGACACAGTTTTAAGGTGGGTCTTCCCACCTCAAATGACCTGTTTATGAAAAGTCCTCACAAGTGTACGCAGCAGCTTGGGTTACAGTTAAACTAAGATGTAGCCATGTGACCAACAAATTCATTGAAATAGTTTTACAATTCGTGCCAAAAGACACACTTTTCTGCATTGATCTCATCATGAGCTTATTACTTTGTATAGTGACTTGTGACTTGAACACTACTACAAACACGTAAATGGTTTTCATTCTGTTTGGCACTGGCTGATGAGACCCAAGTAATGACAAAGTGATTTTGTATATTTGCTCTCCTTAGTCTCTCGTAATCATATACACACATCAACTAGGGATCTTGTTAAAGTACGGACTCCTTTACAGGAATCAAGAGAAGGTGCAGCCCTTCATTTACAGGAAATTCCTGTATTTCTATCTCATATCCACGACTGTGTCCCATGGATTATGCTTTGAGTGAAAAACGAGTCTCTAGTCCCAGGAATCCAGTTTAGCCTAATTTAAAATTTCTTCCAATGTAGTTTAATTCACATTTTAGAATGTTAGAGATAATATATAAGAACTTTCCCTGACTCTTGCTTTCTCATCTGAGTATCTGATACATCTTGTCTGGATGTGATTGAATTCTTTTTCCGGGACAAGAGTCTGACATATGGCTTTTGGCAGGTAATTCCCTTTAGCTTTGATTGAGAGTAAACCCGAGGTTGGCAAGCTCTTGTGAAAAATGAGAAAAATAGCAGAGCCTGCAAAGGAAGCCATCCTGACCCTGCCAAGAGTCAAGCCAGAAGGATGTGCCACCGTTTTTCTGATAAATCTACAATCCTAGTTTGCTGGGGGGAAAAATGGAGAAACAGTTTAACTCTGCAGTGAACATCCAGCAGAAACTCACACACAAACACCAGCAAACTTAAAGAATGCGTGTTGTGATACGTGTCTCATAGCAGACACTGGAAATCTTGAACATCTTTTTTTCATCCATGGAAAATTAAGACTATTAAAATGAATAATTTATTTTTATGTGATAGAATGACTATATCCCAAAATATAATGGTGGTAATAAAGGTAGTGTGATGTTATCCCCTTAAAGTCATTAAAATGTGATGTGACGGGCTAGACAGATGGCGTAGCCGTGAAGAGTGTTGGCTACTCTTCCAGAGGACTGGTGTTTGTTTCCCAGAACCATATCTACTATCTCACAACAACCTGTACCTCCAGCTCTAGGGAATCCAATGCCCTCTTCTGGACTCTGTGAGTACTTGCACATATACTTCACATTCACACGGACACATTTACATAAATGAAAAAACTTAAATATATGTGTGTGTGTACATATAAGACATTATGTCCTATATGGTTCAGTTTTAAAACATGGCAGAAAAAGTAGACTGAAGTACTTTCCTCTCAGGATAAAGGGGGAACAGGGAAGTGGTATCAGGAAGGAAATAAAGAATACTTTGACATCATGCTATTTTGCTTCCTAAAAGATTCACGTCTGCTAAGTAGTTCAGTGGAAAACACCTGTCTAGCGTGCGCCAGCCCCTGGAGTCACCACTCTAGAAACAGCTGGACCAGAAAGGACGGAGACAATAACTGAGGCAAATGAAAGTCCCTTGTAGTAGCCAACCTTACAGTCTCTCACAAATTATACCGTGAGGGTAAGTAAGAAGCACATGAGTTAGAATCACAAGGGTAAGCTACATGTGGCAGACAAATCACACATGGCAAAAAACATTTTCTTTTCTTTTTCCTTTTTTTTTCCGTTAGACATGTTTATTCAAGTATCCGAAAACACTCTTTCCACTTCCTCCCCTCCTCCAAATACCCTCCCGCTCCCCCCACTTCCCCCACTCCCTCTCCTCCTCCCTCACCATTCCCCAGGGCAGTCAGGGTTTCCTGCCTTGTGGGAAATCCAAGTTCTTCCCCCCTCCCTCCAGGTCCAGGAAGGTGAGCATCCAGACAGGCCAGGATCCCAAAAAGCCAGTCCATGCAGAGGAAACAAGTCCCAGTGCCATTGTCAATGGCTTCTTAGTCTTCCTTTGGACCTTGGGGGCTCAGTCAGCCCCCATGTCAACCACATTCAGAGAGTCCGGTTTGATCTCATGCTCGTTCAGTCCCAGTCCAGCTGGCCTTGGTGAGCTCTCATTCGATCAGACCCCTTGTATCAGTGGGTGAATGCACCCTTCGTGGTCCTGACTTCCAGTGCTCCAATGTGGGTCTCCGTTTTTATCTCCATCCATCGTCAGATGAAGGCCCCCTCTGATTTTGTTTTCCTTGCTTATGATCTCCCTCCCTAAACAAGTCACAATCGCCAGTTTTAGTGAATAATCTGAAGAAAACTCTCTCTTGCATACTACCCTAAAAGTCCAGAAACACATTCCAAAAACAATTCCATGCTTTGAAGATATTGAGGTCACAGGACTCTTGTCTTGCTCTCCTGGAGTTTTCTCACAAGTACTGAAGCGACTTCATTCTTGGACAGAGTTCTAACGCCTGGATTCAATCCTCAGTGGCACAGAAGAATATAAACCAAATACATAGATACCAATAGGCATCT